ATGTTTATTTGCAATCACTTAGCTGATTATAAACATGGATATACGGTGATGCGTCTAACGTTAATCATATCAATAGAAAATGTACAAACCCTGAAAATCACTTGAGCATTAATATTAAAATGATAATCCTTCGAAACAACAGAAACATTTGACAAGATTATTATTGGTAATAGTTGATGAAAATGTTTTAGTTGGAATGATGTAAATTTACTTATTGTTCAAACCTGATCGAAGAGACAGGTTTATGATTGTATTTTATTTTGTTTACAGCCACACACTTAACTCGCTGTCTATTATGTGAGAAATAGTAAATACCTAAACCAATCAGATTGCAGATTTCGTGGTATAACGCTAGCAATACTAATATCGAATAGTCTTACCTTGCTGAAGGGCCTCCATGTAGGCTTGTTCAGCACTCTTTTTACTTCTCCTAGTTAAACACAAATAAATGTATCATCTTTCTTTAGATAAAAAGATGCAGTTTCGCTCCCATTTGACTCAAATCAAGACCTGATGTTAACGTTGATTTAAAAAATTCCTCATGTTCGCCCAAAGGCTCACCTTCTACGTGACACGACAAAGACAACAATGGCCACTACCAGTATAATAAGTAGCAGTGCTCCTCCTCCTCCAGCTGTGTAAACAATAAGCCGTATTTTCTTCGAGTTATCTGCAACCATTTAATCACGACAGTAATTACTTAACATTTTAAACAGGAAATTTTCTGAGCAACCAAAAACTATTTATATTCAATCACAGAAAATTAGCTAGAATTCCACTAGTAGGTTTTTATTGACACAATTTCACATTTTCCACCTTATCATTTTTCTATTAAACTACTTCCCCCACGTTTCTGTCATTATTTTTACCTTTTTTTTTTTTCGTTCATTCTTGCTCTAAGCAGCCATTTCCCGGTTTACGCCTCACGGCAAAAAAAATTCAAAGGGCAATTTCTAAAATTTTTCATTCACAAGCCGTAGTAATCTTCTTAATTCGTAATCATCTTTATTCCTTTTTGGTTAATCTTTACATCTTGATTGGTCTTCTATACCAGCAATATCATTACAATATTTCCCGTCTGTTAAACTGTTAAAGCCTCGTAACGAAGTTTTCTTACGTTAACCCTTTAACTCCCAGAACTGATTAACATGCAACTTCTCCCTTTAAGGAGGCTGGATATAGTTTTTTCACTTTTCTGATGCAGGATATTTAAACTAAAATTACGAAGCTTAGCTTTAACGAATCGCGATCACATTTTCCCCTGAAATAAAGATATTATTGAAGAATCAGTTTGTTGTAAATATATTGAAAATCCGTTGCCATGGCAACGTTGCTGGCTTGCAATGCTGGGTCCAAAATTAGACTTGACTTGAATTTTCTTAAAAACTAGAAGGTGAACACGCAAACACCACGTTGACCGTTTAATAATTTTGGGCATGACTGGTCAAATTCTCCCTAAGGAAGGCCGTAGTCACCTTGGACACTAAAGTAGCTAGACAGTGGAATAAAGTTAATCTGCATTCAGAATATTTCATATAGTTCTGCTTTAGACTTACCACCTCTTCTATCGTTGCTGGAAAAAATTTAAGTGATACTTAAATAAATTCAAAATCTTGCTTTTAACTTCACTGATTCAGACAAAACTTTTTCCAAAAATTATAGGGAAAGCAGCCCTGACTCTACCAAAGTACTATTTTTGATAAATAAGTGGTAAGGGTTTGTATGATATTCTAGTTAATCTTTATACTGACTTACATGACCCGTTAGTCCTTATGGTAATTGCCGTGAAGTTCGCCTCAACTCCATATTTCAATTTCGCCACTTCGCTCACTCGGTTCTTAGCGTAAACTCTTATTGTGTAGTTTACAAATGAGGTAAGGTTTCCAACAGTAACCTTAGTGGTGCTCAGGCCATCCTTTCTTGGTATGAAAATGATGTCACTCCTGCAAGCTTTATCTACGCACTCGCTTTCGTCTTCAACTTCACATGGTCGACGGCATTCAACTTCATAAAACACGTGGGTCTGAACCCCAGTTTCTGCGGGAGGCTGCCACTGTATTTCCAGAGCGCTTTGGTTGACAAAGCCGAGGCTGACATTTTTCGGGGCTGATGGTACAACTAAAGGCAGACTCATTAGCACTCATTAGCAATTGTAGTTACATAATCAAAAAAATCCTTAAACAAAGGGAGCTTATTCAGGTACGAAACTACGTATTTGCAACAGAAAAAGATGTTTTTTGGTCTTGTCACGAGCATGGGACGATGAAAATATTCCGACTCCCCATGAGGAATCGAACTTCATTCGGATTTCACGTCACGATGCTCCGAATTTCGCGCTCCGATGCTCCAACACTGAGCCACAGAGACTCTTTGGTGAGCTAGGACATTGACTGGGTTCATTTGTGACATGCGTCCCGCGCACTGCTAGGATCAGCGACGTCGAAGGCGTCGAAGGCCTGAGGTTCGATTCCTCATGGGGACTCATAAAAATCTTTCCTATGTCCCACGCTCATGACAAAAGAAKAAAATGTCCCACTTTCTTTACCGCGCTTAAAATTTTCTATTTACATATCATTCTACTTACATATTAGTTATTTCTTACCAATGAGCGAGAAAACTACCGTTGTTAGCCAGGCATGGGCCAGCTCTTGTACATTGTTCAAAAATACTTTCTTGTTTATATTTTGAGCATCTTCTATGGAAACATTCGAAAGAGGTTGTATTCGATGGGCTGTAGGTTTACCACAAGCAACTCTCTCGGTTTTTTTTCTCTCTGTTTGCGACTACACAAACATTGGAGATGATGCTACTTCAAAAAATACGTTTTGAGGGTAATTATCTCTCACAGGCATCGAATTGGGAGCCATTCAAGTGGAATTTTTATTATTTAAATCATTAGATAAAAGCTGTTACATATATTAAACTCTTCATTTAGAAAAAAAAAAGCAAAAACGGCGTCAGTACCTGTACAATTTAAGCCACTCTCATCGTTGTATCGTTTTTCTGGACAATCTGGAAATAAATTAACTCATTAATAACAATGCTGATGAGTGAGTGTTTCTAATGACGATTAAAGAGTCTTTGACAGCGCAAATAACTCGCTTTGCAGTTTCCTCCTGGACCTAGCGCTTATTGCGGATTTTGACTGGAGTTTCGCGTATTTATGTATGTTCAGCAACATGCAACCTTAACTCCAACGGGGAGAAAGTGTTAAAACATCGGTTTAAAAGAATGGCCCGCACTAAGACATAAGTATAACTCAGTCAACAAGCGACATAAGTGTGAGAACGAGGAAAGAGCTAGCGTTTGCCTAACAACGTGGAAGAGTATCCCTTTGCTAATTTTTGTATTTATGCTTCTGCACAGCGTAAAACAGCATTTGGAAAACACTAAAATGGGAAGAATAAGCCAACACTGAAGGAATTAAGATAATTAGAGATGGAAAAGGTTAAGACTGACCGCAAATGAATAAATTGACTCTAAGGGTTTTCAGGCTGGACAAGCCATAATGTAGCCATTTGAAAAAACCTTATACGCATCTTTTTCCTGGTCTGAAAGACACAGCGGCAAGTTGACTCCGCATGCTTGGAGGATTTGGCGCATTCGAGGAGAGTTTTGTGATTTCAGCGTGAATGAATTTCGTTTGGGAACGAACGTAACATCATTTCATACTCTTTTGGGCTGTTATTGATGTGGACCAAGTGGACAATTTAATGGAGTTCTTTTCCTATGGATAGGTTTGAAGGTTAACTAGCGATCTTCTACTTATAGTTCATCGTAAGCTGTTTTAAATTTATGCAGACAGCTAAAGCGACGGCAGTCGCTACGACTTGAACTTCGTAGCGATGTTACAGATGCTTTACTTCATTCCCATCAGTTTCTTAGTTTAGTTTAGTTTCTGTAACATTTTTTTGTTGAATATGATGTGTAGCAGAGGGGGTTCCACTAATTTTCCTGGAAACGGCAACCTTATCTGTTTTGGTTTGAACTTATCCTCGTAAAATGAAAATAGACAATGGGAAATTAAAAATACCGCCATTTTGCCGCAATAGTTACTATTTCCTTTGCGGATGTAAAATTTCTTACGCGTTACAAGCATGCACAGTCATTTTACCTCTGTGTTAACGAGAAAAACTCTACTGGTCAACGGCACCATCTCACCGATATCAATTGCTAAATTGTCTTTACGTGGTATACCTTTACATTTTCCTACTGCGTTTTCCATCCCCTCCCGGCATATACAACTTCCATTAAGTGAGCTGATGTTCCAAACCCCATCACTCTGACAATCCAGGCTTAGAGTCCCTTGGTTGTTAAAGGCATCTGTAACACAACCAACTTCAACAGGCTTTGAGTTGTTTGCTGGAGCTACTGTGTGTGGTAGGGAAACCAAGCTACTAACTTGAGTCGATATTGGGCAGACGTAATAACTAACAGTGACAGAATAAAGGACACTACACGAACCCTGGTCATGAAATGCCAAAAAGATGTACTTTTTTTTAACTTCTACACGAAACTTTTGAGACACTCTGATGCCAAGAGCTAACGGAGCTGTTTTCGCAATCTTGTCATAACTAGCATTGTTTGTTACAGGGTCGAGTCTCGTTGTTTGCCAGGACTGATGTTCGTATAAATGGAAATAGTTTTTGCAATGGATCCCTCCTTTGATAGCAGTGCAGTTCTCTGTTTTGTAATCAATAGTAACGATGACTGTTTTCACCACATTGTCGACCCCGATGGGATCACTTATAAGCCAGCTGTTTGGTTGTGGAAATGCATCCAGATAAACATCACAGAGTGAGTAATATTTCTGTTTCACCCACTATTGGAAAGAACCAGTTCAAATGATTAAATCGTGTAGTGGTTAAAAGATGAGCTTAATTTGCTCAATCCCCTTGAAAAAGCCATTTTGCAATGACTGAGTCCACATTCAATTAAGTAGTACGAATTTCGCAGCAGTTCCTCGGTTGTGAGCAGGGTGTATCTAATTTCCTTTATAAAATGTACACATGGCTTCACAAGAGATGAGTATATATTTAAAAAAGAGACACAAGTTATGAAAATATTCTTAAAGCTGTATTGCTTATAGAAAACTCTAAACTTAAGTTCAACTTGAAATTTTTTGCAAAAAAATTTGAGTAAGGAAAGAAACGAAATAAAACTGACCACATTTTGTTTCCTGAGATCTCTTTCAGTTTCATTGTAGTATTAATTTAACCCTCAGTTAACCCTCAGTTAACGAAATATACTTTTCGCATTTAATTTTCTCTGGTTCAAGATTTATGGTTAGGGTCATTGTTCCCAAAAAATTGAGGAGAACAAAGAGTTTAATACCCAAACAAGTCCTGCTAGGAGTTTAATAAGCAAAACTGAGTGACTGGTAGCCTCAAAAAATGCTCCTTCCCAACCTTTTTTAATCGCATTGCGAGGCCTTTTCGATGCTAGAATCCACCGTTTAACCTGAAAGGAATGCTATCACTTTCACAATATTTAGGTGCAACTCTAAAATTTACAATCTATTGTAAAAAATGATAATTGTGATTCAGACTACTTTACCGGAACGAAGAGCTCCCCAACATGTTTCGTTGTTCAGTTGGTCGACATCGTCAATTAGTATCATAGGGGCGCAGGTTTGTATCTCGTCGAAGCTTGAATTTTTATTCATTTTTGTTTTTTTCAACCCACCTTTTCTGTCTTTTTTTTAAACTGCATCTCGCATGCGAAGATCATTTCTTTATTTAATTCGTAATTTACATTAGACAAAAAAATAGACTCATACCCCAGCCGGCCCGTCGTCTGCACCCGTTGGCTTTGCTGTGACCCAAATCCATGTTCTCCTCGACACTGGCTGTTTCTCTAAAATCACTTAACAGAGAATATGTGAAGAGGCTAAAAGTGAAACTGTAAACAAAGTTTTTCCGATTCGACAAATCTTAACAGTTACTCTGATTCGTGTGATGAATTAATTAGTTTTTATTTTCTTAACTGTTAATGAATTTCTTGTACCACTGAGGCGAAATAATTAAAAAAATAAAGCGAACTTGGTCTCTGATCTCTAGGGGTTATTTAACACAAAGATTCTCTAACGGAAAAGATACTTTATACCGACTGGACCCTAGGCAAGCTATCTTGTTACTGTGGAGGGATGTCAGTCCACCTCTCCGGCCTTTCTGCTACGATATCCTGGAATGCATTTCAAATATTTTTTTTTTGGATTTCCTTGGCATAGTTTCATGCAATTTATTAATTAAACTTGAAGTGACGTACTTTCGCTGTCTGATCTTTCTATCGAATCGCGGAATTTTATCTTGGTTGCTATAGTTCTTAAAATTGTTTAAAATATGCGAAGAGGTTAAAAGTGAGACTGCAAATAAAGTTTTCCCGATTCGACAAATCTTAACAGTTGCACTGATCCATGAAATGAATTTTTTCCGATTTGATTCTCATTTGTACATGTGTTCCTGAATTTCCTGTACCACTGAGGCGAAATATGTAAACAAATAAAGGCGAACAGGGTGACTTGGTCTCTGATAACAGAGGGTTATTAAACACAAAGAGGGTTGGCGGGGAGAGAAATCGAAAGAATATGCAAACTTGAGACGTAGTCTAGAGATTTGCCAGACTTTGTACCCCAAGGTCATGTAAATACACAAAAAGTATTCTTTAGCTGATATACCGTAATTTTCAAAAGAAGGTGTTTGACTAAAAATTTCACAAACGCACTCACGTAGCCACACCTAGACACCCTTTTAGACCAACGGTTTCATGCGCATTATCCAAGATTTTTTTGAAAAAGTTTGATCAGCGTTTCAGCAACGACCTGATCTCAGGTAGATCAAAGAATAAAAGTATCACGCATTCGTTCAAAAATATGCGATACTTTTTAAGACCGTTACTCAAATAACCCAATGTTGCACTGATACGGAATGATGAGAGCTCTGGGGCTCCAGAATAACTAAAATAATAGCAGAAGGCTTTTTTAATTCCATACCTTGATCAGTTGATGAAAGGGTAACAAAGAGTAGGAGAATGAAAACTGCGAATAACATGTGGTCCATAAAGCACATGTTGTGAGTTCCCCTGTTGTGAATCAAGAAAATGAAATATGAGAAAACCTAACAATCCAGCTACTTTAATCCCCTCAGAAGGGATAAGAGCTTGATAAGTCGTTTCAATAATATAAGCCTAGAAAGGTATTTAAAGAGATGATGGGACTTTATTGATTGGTTTCTCGAGTGGAAGGTCCGTAAAATTCGCAAAGTTTTTCTCCCGGACGATTTTCTTTTATCGTTTCTTTTCCATCAAAACAGCCATGAATATAAAACGAACGCCTTTCATTTGGGGTGTAGGAAAGTTATGCCTTTTCTACTTGAAGGCACAAGAAAATATGCCTCTTCGGTCAGAATGGAGATAAAAGGCCAATCTGAGTGTGAATATCCTAGTGGGCCTTTTCGATTCTACACAAAGCTTTGTCCGGGCTACATACGTACATGCAGAAAGACTGGTACCTGTAAGTAAGAAGCTGTGTCAAAGGAAGGGAACCCTTGTCTGACGTCAGTGAACACAAATATTTTTGGTCTTGTCACGAGCGCGGGATAAAGAAAAGAAACTTTCGGGTGCTGTGCCCCGATGCTCTACCACAGAGCCACAGAGACTCTACGGTAAGCTACTGAGGTCAAAACTAGTAGTGACAAGCGCCATGAAAAATGATAAGATCAACGATGTCGAAGGTTTCATGGGAGCTCTTAGAATGGAGAAAGATGGTGAATTATCAGCACGGTAAAAGAAATGAATAAAGATGTGTTTGCCTAGAGGAGGTGTTGGACGCTGACTGCCGGTGTAACTAGACCCACGTAAATGACATTCTGAAGCAAATATCTAGTTGAAAGCGCCCAGTTCATTCTTGTAAAGACGAAAAACTTGCAAGGGTTGTTGGCTATTTAGTTGGAATACACACATTGCCGTAGGCCAATATACAATGTTAGATTCGTAATGTACATCCACATTTGAAGTCTTGCAGTTGACTATTTGTGTTTCTGTGAATGGCTGTATGGTTGTTGCCTCCATGCAGACCTCTCCTATTTCCTTTGTTGCTCGCGGAAAAGGGAGAAACAGGCTTTTCCGCAGTTAAAACATGTACCTGTACAGCCTTTTTCTTGATAGAAAGCCCTGCCTTACAGGCTTTGGAACTGTAGCTATGAGAAATTAATTTCTCCGTCGAGTTCTCGTAAGTCAGTGCGAAGTCCACGCCGCTTTTGCAGTTTTCTCAGACACTCTTTACAAATATGATGTGATTTATCAGGCACTGTCAATTGTAAAGAAATAGTTTCCCCGTACAAGTTAAATTTTCCGCGGCTTCGCGCAAGATTTCGATCGCTCTGCTTTTCGATCGACAAAAAACAGCACACAATTGCACGTGTTTTCACAAGCGGCCCAAGCTGTCTTTGAGAACCACACAAGGAACACAATTTGCAAATCGATTTATAAGGATTTGTATGAGACTTTCTACAAGATATTCATAGAGATAGTTTAAAGAGAAAATGGTAAATAAAAGTGGCTTACCTTACTCTATACGAGTGTTGTTTGCTCCTGGTGTCGTTATTTTACCGATTTCACTTGATTTAAGCGTTTTTTTTTTAATCATTCAAAAAAACCGCTTAAATCAAGTGAAATCGATAAAATAACGACACCAATGGAAAATAACACACGTATAGAGTAAGGTAAGCCATTTTTATTTAATATTTTCACTTTAAACTATCTCTATGGATATCTTGTAGAAAATCCCATACAAATCCTTATAAATCGATATGCAAATTGTGTTCCTTGTGTGGTTCTCAAAGAGAGCTTGGGCCGCCTGTGGTGTTTTTAATTTGTTTTGGCTGGAAAACCCCGCTCACTGCATACATTATCGGACCAGATTTGATAACAACCAATCAGCGTTTAGTCAAATTAACAACTGGCACTGTGTGTCAGCCTATCACAGCCTGTTACCAAGATCAGGAGAACCCAGCGGGACGCTGGAACACAATAAGCGACGGCTTTACGCAGACGTCCTTTTCCGGGTGCATCAAAGGAATTAGGAAACGTGCATTTCAGATGAGTTAAATTATACAATATTTGATGATAAAGCTGAAAAACTTTCATCTGTATACGCTTTTCATTTTCAGTACATGCTTTTGATTATAATTACCCGATGGAAAAAAAACTCGAAAAGTTACCTTTGACTTGCTCGATTCATTTTCTGATTGTTTCCACATTGTCTCCTAAAAACGCGACAGCTAATAAAAATTATTACCTACAGTAATAGTAACCACCGAATAAGGTCTTCCTCGGTGTAAATTAGACGATTAGTCCAGAGTAATGGTATAATGTTACCTGACGTCGATCAAAATGAGGCTCAGTTTCTCTAAAATATGTTAGCTGGTATCAGTTTAAAGTTTGGCTTGTTTGCATATTCCGCCTGATTAGATTCTTATTACCTGATTAGAGTTAATTACGAACAAGTCTTAACCGTAACGTGTCAGTTTGACTTAGCGACATATCGTCAGAGTGAAACTGATTCTATCATGCTTTACAGAGTGGGACATTGCAATTTTCGCGTTTTTGTGGTTTTCGCAATTTTTTAGATCAGTTTTTCAGTTTCAGTGCCCTAACACTTCGGTTTTAACAATAAAATTGTAAAGACGTCTCCCTTCAGTTTCATTCTTGCAGGACGACGATAACAGTAGGTGCTAAAGCTTATACTGCTGAAGCTGGAACTACAGAGAGAAATTAAGTTGTGAACACAAAATGACTGGCTACGCAGAATAAAACAACCACGACCATTTGACAATTAAAGGCCACTTTATAAACTTGAACAGCTACCCAGTGGTGTGACAAACATTCATGTCGCTTTATAAAAATTTACTCATTAACATGTTTCTGTCCAAGTTTTCTGTCTTTTTTCTCCGCCGCGCGAGAGCAACTACGACTTTTTAATTTTTTCCATAGAAGAGTGGTCAGCGTGAACCGTTCTCATTAATGATCCACAAACTATGACTGACCTTTTCCTAATGTCCAAGTCTGAATGAATATGCATTAGTAAATAGAGACCTATTCTGGACCGAACTTTCACCAAAATCAATGTACCAGAAATGGCGATGACTTAAATCAACCAAAACTTTCCAGCAACAGTTATCGATTAAAGCAGCAATTCACTTACTGTCACAAACCAACAAATCTTTCAAATATTTTACATCAGACAGATGACTTCCTGACAAGGAAATGTCCTGAATGTTTGGTGTTTTTCCCTGTGAACAACGATGTTTACTCCGTTGCTTTCGTTTATTCAAACTCAGAAAACTTCGAAGAGTATTTTCTCTGGTTGTAAACGACGAAAAGGTGGGAAAAAAGTTCCTTAAAGAAGCGAACATAAAACTTTATACGAGTAAACAATGAAACAAAGCATCTCTTGCTTGACTCAATTAACCCCGATCGTTGATGAAGAATAACCCAATGTTCTCTAGCAGAGAGTACACTTACCAGCTGCCAGTAATCGACTGATTGTTCCAAGTTGATCGGAGATTGATGAATGATCGAAAAGAATTTACTGTAATTACAGGTTGAGGACAAAATGGTGTAACAGCGTAAGGTTTCCGCGGTAATCTAGAACAACAAGCGGCAAAAGGTCATGTGCATCAATGTTTGCCAAAGTGCGACTTAAATAATGTTAGCAGTTGAAGTCACGGACGGAAGACTCTAGGCAAAGCGGTAGTGGTGTATCTTTTCTGCCGTCTTCGTCAGTAAACTTAATCCATGTGTTCTTTGTAGCTAATATTCATGATAACTGATGTTTCACAGCGTTTTTGAGAAATTAATATCAGTTCGTGTGACCTCGCTATTCAACCGTGTGACATGATCTGTTAATAATTAGCATTCTCTCAAAATAGTTGCATCACATTACATCTAACGCGCTTTAAAAATTACTGCGTAGGAAAAGGTCAACAAAAGACATTTTCTGGTCTAGTTGTCAAAGGTAAAGAATGAATTCCGAATTCGAAGCTACTACTGTAAATTGTATTTGCCTCAAGAAAGCACTGCATGCAAGAGGTGATTAAAAGTAGTGAGAAAGGTGAGAAGTTGAATGTCAGTATTTTATGAAAACGTTTTACCTCATTTGTTTTAATAATGACCTGGGGCTTGAGGAAACATTTTTCTTCGCAAAAATCCATGAATTTCTTTTTATATGGTTTGAAAACTGTACGTTGTGTTCATGATGCACTTTGCCGCAGGAGATAGATTATTAGGAACTAATATCAAATGATATAAATATCACTGACATGAAGAGAAGCCATAAATTCTAATCACCTATTAACAAAACTCCTCCATAAATCTTCGCCGGGATAGTTACGAACTGCTTTGAATTAAACGTCAAGAATCTATAATTCCTTTCACAGTTCTTTTATGGGAAAGATACTTTATACCGATTTAGCCTTAGGCAAGTCATTTTGTTACTGTAGATCTGAGGTGTCAGTCCAGTTCCTCTTTCGGCTACAATATCCCGAAATGCAGTTCAAATACTTTTTTCCAAGTGTTTCCTTTACGTAGTTTCATCTAATTTAATCTTTAAGTGACGTACTTTCGTTATCTGATCTGTTTATCGAATCACTTAATTTTACCTTGGTTGCTAAGGTTCTTAATTTTTTTTTAATTCATCCCATTAATATGGTGACCTTTTTTAATTAAGTATTTTCTTTCCTTTCAATTTAACATTTTTGTCCTTTTGTTTAACCTTAAGTCACTGTTGAATAAAGGCTGATAGTTTCGAAAGAAACAGGCAGAAGACTAGGTGACCGATTCCGAGAACACCTTCGAGACGTGGAAAGGAATGACAAGGACACATCGAAACCAGTCCTTAGACATTTTTTACTTAATCATTCTAAGCAGCATATGGCAATCTGCGCTCTTTCCTTACACTTAGGTAGGACGGAAAGCCGTAAAAATCTTGAACAAAAGCTCATCTTTCAAACCGGTAGTCTAAATCCCACAGGGATCAACGAACGCTTTTCATTCCACTAATTTATTCTTGTTTTTCTCGTTTCCACAATTCCTCTATTCGCTCCGACGAAGGGCTAACGCTCGAAATGTCAGCTTTTGTAATCGTTAAGGTGGCCAATTTACCATTTCAACTTTGTTGATATATCCAACTTAATTCCCTATTGTTTTCTTTTGTGTCTGTGTTGGCCAATTTGGGGGATACCCAAGGATTAGCCTATTTGGGTACATCCTGAGTTCGAAAACTCGCGGTCTTCCGCGAGAAGCGCGGTTATTTTAACTGTTCTCGCGCTAGCTGTGCGCGCCAAGGAATCGCAATACGCAACAAGTAGAGTAAGTTCACCCATAGCTTTTGAGGAAATGTCCGCTTTGAGTATTTTCAGCAAAAGTGCCAGTTCCACAGCTTATCGTTATTGAAAGATTCGTCAATACATCAGAAGTATCTACCAGAGGAAAAATTACCATAAAATGTGTCGAGAATGAGAACAGGAAGCCTTAAGTGACTGGTATGTCTGACATTGTATAAAAACCCTTTAGCAGCACTTAAAAGCAGCTAAATTAAATAAATCACGATCGGGGAGCCTTGAAATTTCTTTAATCTTCTTTTTCCGTAATCCATCTCAGTCCTCTTCATCCCCACTCATTCTTGTTCTAACGTGGTCATTGAGCGAACCGCCTCCCGGTTAGCTCAATGGATAGAGTGCTGGACTATTGTACGGGAGGTCGAGGCTTCGAGCCCCGGTCGGACCAACACTTAGGGTCTTAAAATAATTGACAAGAGTTTGTTGCCTTTCTATAACATCTACAAATGGTTAGGTATTCTAGTCTTCTCGGATAGGGACAAATAAATGGAGGTCCCGTCTCCTGCAGGGTTGGGGTAGGAGACGTTAATTTCCCACACACGAGATTACTGTGTGATGGATGTCCTCCCCTGGGGTGGGATGGGTGGGTTTATTGGGCCCGCAGTAATCGGCGCAAGCTGTTGCGATGTCCCTGCCGGTTGGCGAATCTAAATAAAATAAAATAAAATATCAGTCTCTTCTCTTTTCTCTTTCTGCATGGCAGAACTAAAAATTTTCACTCCTTTCACTGATCATTGGAAAGTAGTTTGGAGACCCAAAATCTAGAAACCTAGATCATTACAAGATCCTCACGTTCGCGATAAGTAATGAGAAAATGTGGTCGAATGAAATAAAGTGCTCTTAGCTCTACTGAAGAGTGGTCTCATCAGTTTTCCTACCTCCATTGGATTATTGATGGAAAGATCTAAGACCCTGTTTACCCAAACAGCTGATCGATTTAAACAGCAAGATGTGGACTTTCCTCTCCGTTTGCTTAAATTTATGGAACTATTTAAATTTTTTTTTTTTTTTGGAAAACCTAAGTTGGTATCTTTTAATTGTTTTCGTTGGACCTATTTTTGTGAGATATTCTGCCGTCTCAGGATTTGTACATTTTGTACAGGATTCAGCTCACATAGAGGGTTTCCAGTTTTCAGATGTTTTGGTTATCAGATGAAGCGTTTGTATTTGAATTATCGTAGAGTAGGCTCTACTGTGGGGAATAACCTTCAAGCAGTTGGTATCCCTAGCAAAATATTCTTGCAGGGGTAGAGTGTGTACGCCATAAAAGATCCAATCGATGTTTCGTGTTCTTTTTGTCTAAGTTCTACCAGCTTGTTATATTGGACCTTCTTTTTTCACGTGTTCATCATTAGCGATTCATGTAGGTTTCTTTGTATTAACTTTATCGAATTAAGTATTGCAAGTGTGCCGAGTAACAAACC